ACAAGGTGCACACTGATTATCACTGATCCAGGTAATTCCAATCCTTAAAAGTATGACACAAAGACAGGTGAAAGGACACCACACAATTTTTTTAAAAAAAAAATAAAACTTGACCAGAGTTTGTTTTTTAAAAAACTAAAAGCCACTGACGAAAATAAAACAAGCTGAAAATTTGGAGAAAATATGTGCTAAAAATGTATCTGATAAAAGACTTGTATCTAGAATATATTACAAGAAAACACAATACAGGCTTCTCCTCCATATTTCCTTTCAAGGAGGAAGGTCCATTCCTTTGAGACTATAACTTTCTAATAAATCTTTACTATTTTCTCTTCAAAAAAACTCACAATACAACCTGTCCAAAGTAAAAAATTAGAAAACAATCTGGTTTATAAAATTTCCATGAAATATAATAATACAAATTTCATACAAGCACACGAGAACATACTAAAATTAATTATTAATCACTGTAAAAATGAAAACTAAAACTATATGAGATATAATGACTGAAGTGAAAAAGACTGATCATATCAAGTGTTAGAATAAATACAAAGAAATTAGACTTTTCCTATACTCATGGTGGGAATGTAATTTAGTAAAAGCAGTCTGGCAATTTTTTAAAAGTGGAAATATAAAATAGTATCACCATAGAAAACAATCTTAAAAAGCAATTTCTTAAAAAGTTAACCCTCTATCCTAAGATCTAGTCATTCCACATCCAGTTATCACCCAAAGAAAAAAGACCTGTTCACATAGAGACACACACACTCATTACTGCTCTATTGCTTATAGTCAAAGCAGCCTAAATATCAATCAGTAAATAAAATGAAGTGTGTGGGTATTGTGTCATATGCTGTGGACTACCTGTGAACCCTCTTCTAGCCTGTATCAGCCTCACCATCTCTGATGGACTTGAGTCCACAGTTATTTTCTTGTCAATCCATTTGTTCAAGGTCTTCCTTTCTCTGAGCCTCCACCATTCCAAGTATGGTATCTTTTTCCAAGAATTGGCCCCACCTAACAACATGCCCAAAACATGCAAGACAAAGTTTCACTGTCCTTGCTACCAACCAAGGAGCACCCTGGCTACACTTTCTCCAAAACACTGGTTTTTTTTCTTTCTTTTGGTAATCCAAGAGATGTTCAGTACTCTTCAATCCCACAACTCCAAGGCACTGATTCTTCCATCATTCTCAGTCTCTGCCCCACTTCCAGAGGCATGGGAAGCAACTTAAAAAGACTCAAAAGACTTAGGAAGCACTGTTGGTCTTGAGCACTTTGGAGAGGTCCCTGACAGCACATTTTCTCACCGCAACAAGTCTTTTGATTTCTTGACTGCTGGTACCAAAATAGTTGACTGTATAACCAAGATGCTGTCTACTGGCCCAGAGGTAAAGATACCGCTATTGTTACAGATATATGCAAATTTATTTTCCTTTTACAATTTCAAATCCATCTCCTTTGTTAATTTACTGTGCTCTGGGCTTAAGTAAAATGATCTTTATAAATTACATCAAAGAGTCCTCTGAATTCTGGATTTTGTTCAGGTTCATGCCACAGGAAGCATTACCAGAAAATCAAAGAGCAAAAGAGGGACACAGGAGTACTTATTCCACTTGGTTGTATTTTGCTATCAATTACAGTTCCTCTCATTGTTTCAGTACCCACGCCCTCCCGCCAGTTCCCCTGCTACTTAGAGGTGGTGGTAGTAGAGTCTCCCTAAGGTTGACAGCCCTAGAGAACTCAATCTTTCAAACAGTTCTGCTTGATCATGAGAGCCTGATCAGTCCCCTTATTAAACTAAACTCAATTATACCATTAGTATGCAACTGTTTCTTGCCAGGATGTTGACTGAGATGAAGTATGTAATTAAAATCCACTCATCATCCCACAGAGCTCTGGTGGCCTAGTGATAAAAAGCTGCACTATAATCCCAGACACAGAGATTGAATACACCTGCTCCTCTACAGAAGGATGGCAATCGTCTCCAGTGCGAATTATGTCTCTGAAAACTTGCTGGAAGGTCAGAAATGGGTTACTTCGGTCTGCAGGGCACACAACAGCAACAGTCATCCCACAGGGAGCTCAGGTGGTGCAGTCCACAAAGAGCTGCATTCCTAACCCAAAGGTAGTAGCTCTCTGGCAGTTAGAATCCAGCAGGGGCTGAGAAAGATAATTTCCTCCTTTGAGCTTCACAGCCCCAGAAAACCCAATGGAGGTTGAGCTATGCGTTATTTCTGACTCAGTGGCCACAAGTGACAGTCATTCCACAATTATCACAAATGAAAAGAAGTGTCTAGAGATAGAGTCAGAGTGCATTAGTGCAAAAATAAGAACTCTGCAATAAGAATTTGAATTCCAGTCCCATCAATCACTGGCTATATACTAACTACTACTTGGTGGCACCAATTGTGGGTAGACTCGAAGTCATCTCCCTCCCTTTTCTCCCTTGCCTCTTTTGATATTTTAAAAAATTCAGATACTCATCTTCTCAGCTTCCCTGCAGCTAAGCATGGCTGGCTATGGAACTCAAGATCTAGCCAAGAACAAAGGATAAAAGTTGAGAGGACGGAAGTTTTGTTTTAGATTTTCCTGTTCTATTTAAATCAGCACTTCAAAATCTCTTAAAGAGGTGACAAAACTAAGTACCAAAACTCCATATACTGGGACTCACCTGACAATATTATTCAACTTCTATACTAAACCTACAATAATTATAGACAAGCTTCAGGTCTTATATTCATAGGGTCACTGAGTCGTGCTCGACTCAAAGGCAAACAACAACAACCTAAACCTGGAAGTCATCCTTCCCAAGTCTTAGTGTATAAAATAATCAAGTAACTTTACTGATTAAGTTAACGCTGTTCCATGTTGTCTTCTTTTGGAGGCAAAGATGATGAGGCTTTGCCTCATAGTTTGAGCATGTTAGGAGGGGCTATTCCTTTGAAAGGGACATGACGTTCAGAAAGCTATAAGGTCAGTGAAGGAGAAGATGACCCTCAACCAGGTGGACTGACACAGTGACTGCTGCAATGGGCTCTAATGTCAGGATGTCTGAGGATGGCAAAGGAGAGAACAGGGTTCAGAACTATTGTTCACAGGATCACTATGGGTTGTACTAGACTTGACAGCACCTAACAACAACATACTGTGTGTTGTCTAGAGTAACTAAAGTTATTCAAGTTGTTAAACCTACAGATATAAGGGCCTTCTTACCCAATCTCAAGGTATAAAGTCTGAGAATGTACCATTACAAGCTTAATGGTTTTCATTAGGTTAAAGTATTGGCCAGTATTAGTCAGATATTAAGCAGAGAGCAGTATTAAATGGATACACTATATAAACTTGAACCAGTTATTTCATTATTTCTGCCTCTCTTACTGTGCCATTTCAAGAATTCTGTGCAAGTTATCCAAGAAAGTATGCAAAGTCACTAGCATCATGTTCAATACAGATACGTTAACAATTGTTAGTTCCTTCCTCCCGTATCTTAATCTAAGCTTTCAAAGAATTATATAGGGAGTCTTGGTGACCTAAGGGAGCTCTGGTGATCTAGCAGGTAAGGAGTTATACTGCCAACCCAAAGGCAAGTGGTTTGAATCTCCCAGTTTCTCCACAGAAGAAGGAAAGGCACTCTCCACCTGTGAGATTTACAGCCTCTGAAAATCTGTTGGAGGGTCAGCTAGAATCTGTTCCACCTCGATGGTAATGACTTTGAGTTGAAGTGGAAACTCTGGTGACAGAATGCATAGTGTATTGCACTTCTACCCAAAAGGTTAGCAGTTCAAATCAACCAGCTGCTGCAAGAAAAAAGATGGGCAGTCTCTTGCCCTAAGAAATAATCTCAAAAACCCTATGGGAGTTTGCCCTGACTAGGAACAACCTGGCAGTAGTGGATTTTATTTGAGTGATGCTAGGCTACTAACCAAAGGCTGGAGACAGATCTGCTCCTATAAAGACCATACACAGATCTAGTCTACCACATAATCAATGCACTTACCAATACCATTTTCATAGTAATTATCCTTTGTTAGGGAGCTCTGGTGGCCTAGAGGCAAGAAGCTGCACTGCAATCCCAGAGGTATGCAGTTTGAATCGACCAGATGCTCTGCTGGAGAAGGAAGACAATCTCCTCCTCTACCAGTCAGATCCAATCTGACAGCACACACAAAAAAATAATAAAAATTTTAAAAAAATAATAATTATCCTTTGTTGCTATGTACCCTTGAGCCAGAACCACCATATAGCTGACCCTCCAGCAGGTTTTCACAGGCAGTTAGGAGACTGCCCATCTTTCTCCCTCAGAGCAGCTGGTGGAGTCAAACTGCATACTTTTGGATTGCTAGTGTAATTCCTTACCTATACGCCACTAGAGCTCCCTTTACCTAGATGATCTAAAAAACTGAAAGAAAATTTAAAAAGGAATAAAGTGGGTGGTCTCACTACTGCTTACTGGTATCAAAGGCTTAGACTAAAAATACTGGAAAGCCTTTAAGCTATGACGACAAAAACAAAACAAAATCACCCCCCAAAATCACAAAAAAATGATCAAAATAATCTTTTTCAAAATGGGCAAAACATAAAGACAAAAAGTACATAGTATAGCAATTATCTCAATATATTAAACATTTCTAGTTTTATTTCTAAAATTTTACTCTTGCAATACATAACCCTGCATTACATTAAATAAAGCAGACTTCAAAAACAAACCCTGTATTATATTAAATAAAGCAGACTTCAAAAACAGCCCAGTTTTTCTTACACATACAAACATATACATGACACATATTGGAAACATCAACCCTATCAACATGGTAAGTCAAACCATCATTTACAAAAAAAGAAAGATGGGAGCTCTATTGGCAAGAAGCTGCGTTGCAATCCCAAAGGCTCACAGTTCAAATCCACCATATGCTCTGCTGGAGAAAGGGGCAATCTCCTGTGCCAGCTGGATCTCACTTGACAGTACACGGGAAGGGGGGGGGAGAAAAGAAACTTACCTCAAAATCACACTCCTCTCCCACAGCGTATTTGGTCATGATTTCCATCCAGGCACTATCCACTAGCTTCTCCAAAGATGCTGTATTGTGGTGAACCATTTCCAGAACAAGTTTTTCATACCAAGCAGGGAACTCCTCCTTCAAACTAAATAAATATGTTAGTAATTACCCTGCAGATACAGAACAGCCTATGCAAACTCAGTCCAAATAAATGAATTAATTACATTCAAGGCACTAGGGAATACAAATTAAAGACCATGTGCAGGTCAGTATTCTCATCCCTAGCGTCACAGTAACAAGTACCTCCTATTACTAGCTGAGCTAGACTTTTGCCCATTCATTTCCCTTTGTGTTGTGTTTCTCTTTTTAGGTGTAAATTATTCATTCATGTCATCTGTCAATTACTAGTTAGGAAACCACAGTCTCATCTGTGCAATATTTTAGCGTATAAAATGCTTTCATATGTACTCATTCAATCACTTAGTTCTCACAATACCTTGTGAATCACAGAATTTTCATTTCACAGATGCAGAAAATACATCAATCAGTAAGGGTTTACATGTAAAAGCCATAGCTTAAATTGAATTTTTGCAAATTAAAATGAGGTGTCACTTTCTAATTATTACAGCCATTATGACCACCTGAATAGTGCCAAATAGCATTTACATACTGTTGAGAGCCTATGGTTCAATCATTTTAGAAAGCAATTTGGTAACTTTTTTTGGTACTATTACAAGAACTCCAGTGTTAGAATGCCAGCAAAAGAAAAGAATAGGGCTAGATTACTAACTTGTATGTTCTTCTCATTTATCTGTAACCAAGAATCAAAGTCAATGAGAAAACCCACAGGAAAAGTTTCTATTCCTGACTCCCAAGAGTTGTTTTTCATCTCTGGTTTCTCCTTATCTTTTGTATGCTCCTACTGCCCAAATTCTGAGTGTTTTCTTTGAAAGAATAACAGATAATGGGAACTTTTAATGTAGACAGGTCTTAAACAGAATCCTCTCCTTTCAGATAAACTGTCAAACTGACAGATGACACAAATGTCTAAAATTTCAACTGACCTCTTTTTCTGTGTACAGTCGAATTGGAGGGTCTGCTCCTCCCTGACCAGCAGAACATCTGGTGGATTTGAACTGCACACCTTTAGGACTACAGTGCAGCTTCTTGACACTAGGCCACCAGAGCTCCCCTCCCAAGTGACCTTTAAATAAAGGACATCTTCTGTTTGTTTGAGCTCTAGTATAAGGGTAAGGAGTTGTGATGCCAACTCAAAGACATGAGGTCCAAATCCACCAGCTGCCCTGAAGATGATGAATCATCTTCTGTGCAGTTCACTGCCTCTCACAACCCAACGGAAGGTCAATTATGAGTTGGTCCAGAGTTTGAGCGTTTTCTGTTTATTCTACATTTCTGTATTACTTTTAGATTATATCAGATTCATCTTGTAAATGATTCACAAAGTAAAAGTATAAAACCAGAATATCCAAAAGCCTCTGGTGGCTTAGTAATAAGGAGTTGCACTGCCAACCCAAAAACACATTCTTCAAATCCCTCAGCCGCTCAAAGGGACAAAGGGCAATATCCTCCTGTGCTATTTACCATCTCTGAAAACCCGTAAGATCAGCTATGAGTCAGATTCCAACTCAACAATCCACAACAATACCTAACGTACACAGCTTACTAAGTTCCATACTTAGTTACTAGCAAGTTGCCACTAAACACAGACAACTAACACCAATTCATATGGTATACCCTAATTTATACCCCAGAAACTTAAATGCTGCTTTAGAATTAATACTCCCCTTTTCCTAATAGTCAGGGAAAGTGTCAGAAGGACAATGCTTCTATTACTTACAGTTCAGCAACTTCCTGTTCCTCCTCCCAGGCCTCCTTGTGTGTTAGCTGGCTGCTTCCGGTACTCTTACAAGTCCAAATGCGTTCACTGTACCTCTCCAGCCTGGCTTCATATTCTCTGTAGGTAGTGGCTCAGGAAAACAATACTCAAGCAACAGACAACCCACATCCATAATACTTGTTATACATAGAAAAATATCTACAGTATCTGTCCTATAATGCATAGAGTAAGATTATAGTCACAGTAGTCAATCAGCAAATCCAAAACAAGCTGATTATTATTATATTTGCATGTGACTCAGGGAAATAAAATTAAGGAGAAGGCCACAGGAAAAACTTCTAAATTCCGAAGGGCTCTGAGAAATCATTCCTGATTTCTACTTATCAGATTAAATAATATTTATACTACAGTATGATCTATATGGTTTATTATGCTTTACAAATAATATCAACACAATTTCCTCAATTCACCCTGACTGGCAGTATCATGACAGATGAAGAGAAAGAGATTGTTAACAGCTTTAGTTTGCCTGGCTCCACAATTAACACTCTTGGTACCAGCAGCAGCCAGGAAACTAAAAGACGAATTGCATTGGTAAAATTGGCTGTCAGAGACCTCTACAAAGTACTGAAGAGCAATGATGTCAGTCTGGAGACTAAGGTGCACTTGATCCAGGTCACAGTCTTTGCAATTACTTGCAATGCATCAAGAGCTGGACAATGACTAGGGATGTTAGAAGGAGAATTGATGCCTTTTGAGCTGTGGTGCTGGAGAAGAGAACTGAATATACTGTGGACTACTAGAACAAACAGGTTCATCCTGGAGAGGGTGAAATCAGGTTGGTCCTTGAAGGCAAGGATTCTGAAGCTTCATCTCACCTATTCTGGACATGCTGAAAGGCAGGACCAGTTCTTGGAGAGGGATGTCATGCTTGGGAGGGTGGAGGGACAGTATAAGAGAGAAAGATCCTCAATTAGATGGATTGATTCAGTGACTGGGGTAATGGGAGTAGAAGTGTCAGAGACAAAAAATTGGCACATAATAGAGCAGGGTTTAGGGCCGTTGTACATAGGGTTGCTGAGTCACAGGTGACTTGAATGCACATAACAACTCACCCAAGTTTCATTTCAGAACTCATGTCACAAATTCATGAAATAAAAACAAAATAAAACACAACTCCTAGGTAAAGAAGGTAAAGAATTTAAAGTATGGAAGACAGTTTTACAAATCAGAATAATCAGCAGTTCAAGAAATTCCCTTCCACAGTGGTTGGGTAACAATGGATTTATTCCAAATAGGGTTTGGAATATCCTGTACATGTACTAAAAAGATGCATTTATGAAGAACCCAGGACTCTGGAAACACTAGCTGCTTCTTTGCATTTAAAAAATATTCTGAACTCAGTAACAACAAAAGACAAACCACTCAACAAAAACTGGGCAAAGGGCTTGAATACTGCTGCTCTGGCGCTCTGCCTATGATCAATTGCAAATGTGACCATTGTGACTCAAAGGGTTTCACTGCCTGACTTTAGGAAGGAGATGTTAGACTGTCCTCCCAAGTCTTTGCCTGAGAGCTCTGCTGAAACTTACTCAACACTAGCAATAAATAGCAAGTCTCCACTAACAGAAAGGTGATGGCTGTGCACGAAATATACTTCCCGGGATTCAAACAGAATCTCCAACCTGCTGGGATCGTTATTAACAAAAAAATTTAATAAAGAGTGTTATAAGGGATATGGAAAAATTAGAGAACACTAGTCTATTGCTGATGATAACGTAAAATGGTATGTTGTTGTTGTTAAGTGCCATCAAGTCGTAGATAACTCATATCAACCCTATGAATGAAAGACCTGAACACTTGTATAGTTTCTACAAGTTCATAGTTTCCAGAAGCAAGCTATTTGAGAAGTGGATGCCACTACTGCTACTGTGATAAATAGGCTGGCAGGTCCTGTTAAACAAAGTTACCATATGAGCCAGTAATTCTATTCCTAAGTATATACTCAAAAAACTGGAAACAAGGTCTAGAACAGAAACATGTACAGAAATGTTCATTGAAGCATTGTTGGTGTTGTTAGCTACCACAAAGTATGATTCATAGTGACCACATGAACAAAAGATCTGAATCCTGTTCTATCCTGCGCCATCCTCACACTTCCTGGCACACGAAAGCCCACTGCAAAGGGAGCTCTGGTGGCCTAGAGGCAAGAAGCTGCACTGCAAATCCAGAAGTATGCGGTTCGAATCCACCAGATGCTCTGCTGGAGAAGGAAGGGCAATCTCCTCTTGTACCAGTCAGTTCTGATTTGATGGTACACACACACACACACACACACACACACACACACATTAAAATAAAAAACAAACAAAAAAAACCCAACTCACAAAAAAAAAAGCCCACTGCAGCAGTCACCATGTCAACTTACCTACTGATAATTTTAAATGAAGGTCTTATAAATACAATGTCATGGGAGAATCTTAAAAACACTATGTTAAGGGAGCTTTGGTGGCCTAGTGGCAAGAAACTGCAATCCCAGAGGTGCGTGGTTTGAATCCACCAGATGCTCTGCTGGAGAAGGAGGGACAATCTCCTCCTGTACCAACCAGTCAGATGGGGGGGGGGACCAATACCAAAAAACAAACCACTGTTAAGTAAAATTAGGGAGCTTCGGCGGCTCACAGTGTTAATGTAAATTACTGCATCAACTCAAAGGCACACAGTTACACAGTTCAAATTCACCAAGAGGTGGGAGAAAGACAGGCAATCTTCTCGTGTGTGTGTGTGTGTGTGAGAGAGAGAGAGAGAGAGAGAGAGAGAGAGAACTTGCTGGAAGGTCAGATGTGTCAGTTCAGACTAGATAGAATATAGCAAACAAATGGAGTTAGATATAAAAATGACAAATACTGTATGATCTCATTTACACAAAGTATCTAAAATATCTAAACACTGACATACTTATACATAACAGGCACAACAGATCAAAGTTTACTCATGGTTACTTTTCATGGTCTTTAAGCATGCTGTCAGGAGACAAGTCCTTGGGGGAAAAAAACATCAAGCTGGGAAAGAGAGAGGGTGAGCAAGAGAGAAGAAAATTCATCCCGATGGATTGCCACAGTGACTTTTAACAATGGGCTGTAGCATGTTTGTGAGGATGACACAGGACAGGGCAAGGTTACTATCTCTTGTGAAGTTAAGAGTCACTTAACAGGAACTAATGGTTACTAGGAGCTGAAAGAAGCCAAAACGAGGAGTTACTGTTTAATGGGTACTGCCAATCTTCCTAGGATGATGAACAACTTTAGAGAATAGTGAGGATGGTTTTACAATATGGTAAATGTTAACATTTAAAATGGTCTATTTTGTTATATTTTACTACAACAGGAAGCTCTGGTGGCCTAGGGGTTAGGTAGGGTGTTGTGTTGCCAACCCAAAGACAAAAGGTCTGAATCCACCCAACTGTTCTGCAGGAGAAAGATTTCCATATGATTTACAGCTTCTGAGGGTCAACTATGAGTTGGTTCCAACTCGATGGCACACAATAACAGTAAGATATTTTACAGTACTTTTCAAAAAAATTCTATAAAGTTATGAAGATACTTTAAATATTTATCCCCTCTTTAAGTTGTATGTAACATTCACAAAGACTACTGTGGTCACTCTTCAGCCTTCCAGGGAGGTTAAGAGAAAAAAAAATCATTTTAGTACAAGTAGGTGGGAACACCATTTCAGCTGGAATTCACAATCAGCCAGCTACATTTAAACTCAAATGGCAAGTAACTAATTTACTTTTACACAGAGCAACAGATGCTACTTGAGAATATACACTGAGATCACAAGTATCAAGAGAGCTGCCAATCCTTGTACTTTCCAACAGTGGCTGAAATAAAATTATGGATACAGATCTCTCTGTAATATGATCTCAAACTCTTTGGTATAGGAGATTCTTTCATTTCCACTGTTATTACAAGTAAAAAGAAAACAGGCCTAATACGCCAATGTATTCTGAAAAACAATCATACAAACTATTTTAAAACTTCACTGCTGTCAAAATGGAACCAACTCACGGATGACCCTGCACTGATTTTCCAAAGCTGTAAACTGTACAGGAGGAGATGGCCTATCTTTGTCCAGTGGAGCTGCTAGTGGATTCCAACACCAGAGGCTCAGCCTTTGGGCTAGCGGGGCAACTCCACAGACACCACCACCCAAGGCTCTCCAGAAGTCACCATTTTAGAAAAAAGCATGAGTTTACCACTTCCAAAATTATGTCACTGGAATAATATGTTACCCTCAAAAGAAGAAGAAAATGTAGAGGAACATAAAGTATTTTGGCATCTTAGAATCAAAAAATAGTAGGATTCAGTCTACAAAACCCAACTAGGAATAATGGTGATGCAGACCTATTAAATAAGACTACAATCTGGCACATCCAGGAAAGTATAAACGCTGAGGTCATTGTTTTATTCTTCTTTGTGTTCAGTACTCTACATGATACATGTCCAATGACTGGGTAACATACATCTATTTCTTCACCATAAACTTAACTAAAAGCACAATGGGGGCACTTTGCAAATAAAAAGGTGAAGTAGTTGTTAAGTGACTCATGTACTACCTCTACTGGATAGCCCTGTAGCCTAAGGTTTACTTCTTGGAACAAATGTCCTCTAATATTAACTCTGATATGCTAGTAGATTGGTCCTCTAGATTACTATGAAGTCCCAAATTCAAAATCCTACAATTCGAAAGAATCAGTATTCTTAAGTTTACATAATAATTCCAGATTTAGGTTACCAAAATAAATCATTCAACCTCCAACAACCACTTAAATGTCAATTGCAGCTTTTATGTTTCAGCAACTACAGCAAATATAATTGCAGAAAAAATGTCAAAGCAATTCCCCAAAGGTTGTATAACCTATAATTGATATTTTTAAATCAATTTTGTGACTTGAATTCACTAATTCTAGTGTTAACCTCACCACGATATGCTAATTCTTTGTTCCCTTTAGCCTTTCACTTCTTTTAATACAGGGCTTAACAGACTGAAAGTGGTCCAGAAAAGCATGGAAGTCTAAAAATTCTCAGTGAGAAAATGACAACTACAGG